ACTTACAATGCTCTGGAACTGACCTTGCATAGTGGTTGAGATAACTGATTCATTGTTAACTAAATAATGGCTAAAAAATATATGTGAAATTCTATTTTTATAACTACTGAGACTGACTTACATAAATTCAAATATTTTAAGTAAATCAAAAAGTAAAAATACAAAAATAAAAAAGATCACCAAAAAGAAACAATCTTAAAAAATTACCTCCATGCACGTTCATCAACAGATTGCAAAGATTTACTATTTACTTCTTGACCAGGTTCTAGTAAAACCTTATCCATTTTAAGTCGCTTAGCAACACCATTAGTTATCCAGTCAGTAGTTGATGAAACCTTTTCTTCTGATTGTTCTGAAGTTATGTTAGACTTTTTTAGTTCATCATGAATAGAATTTAGTACAAAAGATAAAAACTCTTGTGAATCATGCTGAAATCATATTATTATTATATTTAACAATTGCAACTTCATTAAACTTCTCATTATAAAAATATATATAATACATAATTATAAAAATCAAAAGAACTAAGCTATATATATATATATATATATATATATATACATATATATATATATATATATATATATATATATATATATATATATATATATATATATATTATATATATATATATATATATATATATATATATATATATATATATATATATATATATATATATATAAAACAGATGAACTTTGGTTTGAAAGTATATCAGTGAATTTTTTTTTTGAAGAAAAAAAATTCACTGATATATGGGAGCCAGTGTGTAATCAAGGGTTATGGTGGGTGATCTTTTTCAAAAATTAAACAAAACCAATTATTTTTCAGTTACTTTCAAATTAAAATTCATCTCTTTTTTATACAGGAAACTGGGGATGCCAAAAATTTCAACACCCTAATATATATATATATATATATATATATATATATATATATATATATATATATATATATATATATATATATATATATATATATATATATATATATATATATATATATATATAAATATATATATATATATATATATATACAGGGGTGTGGAGTCATAAAAAAAAGTAACAACTCCAACTCCAGTTGTTGAAATTTTTTGAGTATAACTCCGACTCCAACTCCAACTCCAAAATTTTTGGAAAATTTAGGAATTTTTTAAAAAATATTATGCAACAAGTTAAAAAAACGTTGTTGGACAAATTTATGAAATATTCTTTGAGGTTTAGTATAAATATAAGGTTAATTGAATGTTTAATACATGCACATGCAATACCGAGAAGTTTTACTGTTGGAGTCTGAGTCGTGATTTTGTTTAGCGAATCAGACTCCACTAAAAATGTTGCAACTCTGCAACTCCGACTCCACAGCCCTGTATGTATATATATATATATATATATATATATATATATATATATATATATATATATATATATATATATATATATATATATATATATATATATATATATATATATATATATATATATATATATATATATATATATATATATATATATATATACAGCTATGCACAAAAGTTTAATCAATATGGTAATTTTAATCAAACTTGTCAGGGTTTTTCAATTTGAAATGGAAAATAAATTAAATTAATTTTTATCATTTTTTAAAGAACAATTTATTAGCTTTACAATTAACATTTGTAAGATAAGATAGTTAAAAAAAATTAATCCAAACAAATTAAATAAATTATTATAAATTATTGATTATAAATTATAAATAATAAATAATTATAAATAATAAATGATTATAAAATGAGTTGCATAAAAGTTAAATTGAGTTAAGATTTAGAACACAAAAAACTAAAAAAAAAAATACAAATCTAATGTTTAAAGTGTCCTCCTTTGGCTCGATAGCAAAGAAGAACTTATCTCTGCATTGATTTGACCAATTTTATGCACATCTCATGTAGCACTTTTAACCAGTACTCGTTCAGAAGTTGTTTCAAATGCTCAGTTAATTGAATTTGATGGTTTACCAACTGAGTGTCGATCCATGACCAAATATTGTCGATTGGGTTAACAACTGGTGATCTAGGCACCAAGGCAATAAATTGATCTTCTTTGTAGTAAACCAGTTTGTTATATTATGTACTGTGTGTGCTGGGGCCTCATCTTGCTGGAAGATGTATTGCTTGCTTCTGCCGTATTGTCGACAGAATAAAACGTGTTCCAAGTGTGTTTTTGTAGGTATATTGGTTGATACGGCCATTTTACAGCACACAAAAATCAAGGCCTTTGTGGGAAAAACATCCTCATATTCACACTGAACCTCCACCACATTGTCGTCTTGCTTGTAAAGAACGCTCACAATATTTCTCAGTTGCAAATCTTTTAACGTATATTCTTCCTTTGTGGTTCACAACCTAAAAAAATTGACTCATCACTCCAAATCACTTTTGTGTAATCTTTAACTGCCCAATGCAAACGTTCTTTGTACCATTTTTGTCTTTTGCTTTGGTCTATGATTGACATATTTCTTATTG